AGCAAAGATTAAACGAAAAACTTATACGAAGAATCATAATGACACAGTTGACACTTTTTGCTAATTAGGAAGGAGGGCTTAGAGATATTGTTACTCGCGGGGCATATTTCAACAGTAAAACAATGAGGCCTATTTGCCAATCTAGGGGTACGCTTAAATTCATGCAGTCAAGGTATCTGCTTTTAAAATATTTATAGACAAGGCAAAGATAACTCACGTTAAGACGTTATGAAATTGATTGAAGTTTAGATGCCATGTCAGGTACGATGACAATATAGACGCTTGTTTGGATTTTGTCGTGAATCTAGAGATAGAACAAAATCGCCAAAACAAATGTTGTTCCATCTTAGAATCATTCTTACATTTCAAAATATGTTTCGGTGGTAGATAGTAGACCGATTGATGATAATCCATTAACCAGCTTCGTTTTTTTTTCTTTTTGTCATTCTTTTCTTTCTCTTTTTCCCTTTTCATCATTATTCTTCATATAAATCTGTTATGTATTGTTCTTATTCTTCCTCAAGTCTTTTGATTCTTAGTTTCTAGTAAATTGCCTTCATGTTTTTTCACTTCTTTTTCCAATAATCTTTCCTCTACTTCTATTGATCCCTCTTCTTTGCCTTTTCTTTCTTTTAGAATCATCGTTCTTCATGTAAAGTTCATTGTTCTTTTTACACTAATATTTTTTCTCATTTGTCTATTTGTCTTTATTTATTATTTTATTCTCTTTGTTTTTCTTTTCTGTAAAATAACTATCCTTCTCTTACATTTAATTTCTCTTTATTTTTCTTATTGCCCCATTAATTTTCTACATATATTTGTATCATATCGTTTTTCATTCTTTCTTTTTAAATTGTTGATTAACTTGTAACGAACCTATCACCTTTTCTCTATCATTTCTTTTACGTACTCATACTTCTGTTTTTATTTCATAACATTCTCCTTAAAAAAAAAAAACAAAAAAAAAACACACTCTTTAGGAGATTTCAACATATCAACAAGAATATAAATAACCAGAATGTTTTTCACGTCTTCTAGCATAAGTTCTTGGAATATTTCATATCAATCATTTATCGTATTCATTTTTGTCAATTCACTTTCTCTTATACTTTTATTCTTCCTCAGTTTATGTTTTACTTTTTATTCCTATTTAATTTCTTTTATAAATACTTTTATCCTTTTAAAACACCTTTCTCTTTCTCTTTTTTTCACTTGCTAATTATACTTATTTAGTTCTGTTTTACTTTTTGCCTTCTGCTTCTTCGTTTTTTTCTTTTAATTCTCCCTACTCCCACACCTTTAATATTTCTTCTACTTCTCTTTCTTCTTCTTCTTCGTCGTAGTCTTCTTCTTCTTCTTCTTCTTCTTCTTCTTCTTCTTCTTCTTCTTCTTCTTCTTCTTCTTCTTCTTCTAATTCAACTACTTCTTCTTCTAATTCATCTTCTTCATATTATTATTATTATTATTATTATTATTATTATTATTTATCGTATGAGATTTTCACCTGGTGGTGGGGGGTATTGAAAATTGCATCCCTCAGCTCAGCAGATCTGGAGGTCATCGAATTTAACTGAACAGATAATCCGTCAAATAAGATTACAAGAGGAAGATTTCTTGACCCATGTTGATCCTTTGGAAGGTACTACTCGATCATAGTCCTTGATATTTGGTGCCAGAATACATCGTTTACCACATAACCATTAGTGATAAATCACCGAGGAATGTTTTCTTAGTTTAAACTCGATAACAGACATTGTTCTGCTTGATAAATATTTATCTGTCTCACGTTTCGAAGTCTAATAAATCACTAGCCGTATTTTATTGATGATACATTCATACCGCATTTAAAATTGCGCACACGGTTCAAATGAATAAGTACAAAAAATCACCGGATTCTAGTAAAATTATACATGTTTTGATCTTTCAATTAACCCACTAATCGCTCATCTGGGATTATCTGTTTAAGGAACGCTCTTAAATGGTAATACTATATCGGCAGCAAGGTTTCGCCATTTTACATTTTAAATGGTTAGATTTAACAGTGGGCTCTAAGCTATCAGTTTCTTTTCTTGCACTTCTTGCTTGTCAAACATTTTTCCGGCTTCTTGCTTTCCCGTCAAATTTGATCTTCAAAAATATAATGCAATGTTCACCGTCATCTTCTGTGTTTTTACTTCCTGTTCTTTTTTTGTTCTCTCTCCTTCATATTTGTTTTCTTTTTTCATATTACCTGACACTCACTAACACTTTGCACCTTAGTGGCTTTATTGTATTGCTTGCAGTGAAATGATTTTAAAAGAATACTTACACATCGAATTAATCAATTTACTGTATATTGACAAGAAGAAAAATTGTACACAGAATCAGAAAGCGAATGATGAAAATTCCTCCGGAAAATATAAATGGAGAACTTAATAAACTTAACTCTTAGAGGGCAAGAGAGATAGGTTAAGGCAGTGGGATGCCTACCTGACGAGGATGAAGGAATGGATAGGAGAATGGTGAAAAGGGCGGATCTTAGCATAAGGAGAAACGCTGCTAAGGTTCATAATGTATGGAAAGTGGTATAACTTATGATAGGCCTTGTCCTAAAGAAACACATCGTATAGAAGAAGATGTGTATATTAATATAATAATGCTGTCATCATAATTAAATATGAAGTTTTAAACAGAGGGAATAGCGGAATTACATTTTGGGCGGAAGAATACATTTAAATATTTATACATTAGTTTTCTATAACATTTACTTGAAACCAACACAGTAATCGGCCATATTGAAACACATAAAAATAGAATTGAAAAATCATTATCATTAACTTTGCTCCCTTGCAGATTAATGTAAGATTCCGTATATTATACTCAATCCATAGTATACTGTATGCGCGCATCCGGTAATAGAGAGTGTATTGGAGTTTGTAATCGGAGAGCCGAGTTCGAATACATGTCTAGTACTTTAGTACACCTTGGTTGGTAGGAATCTGTCAATTCTCTCTACAGCTACGGGACTCGTTTCTGGAAAAAACATTTTTATCTCAAAAAATATTGTTAATGCAATATACACTAGTAAATTATTCTTACAAATCTAAATATTTTGGGCTTTAAATAACACACAATGGGTTGATAAGCCGTAAGAAACAAATCAATCAATTTCAAAATCATTATTTAAAAAAACAACTATAGCACAACATATCTGTTGCATCAATTTCCATCTTTGAGTAAATTGTATATTATTTGTAATATGGATGGTTGAAAATTACTTTAATGTCCAGTGGTCTTTTTGCCTTGCTTATAAAGAAACTGGTCTGTTTCCGAAAATTTTGATATTTTTGAAAACATCCTTTGTTATTTGAATACCGCTACGTATGTCTGTGACATTACATTTATTGGAGATATATAGAACTATTTCCTTTGATCGTGCTAATTCTAGCATTACAACAAATAGGTTTGCTTCTAATTTGAATTCAATGATTTTATATTCTCAACTTCGGCGACGCATATAATTACATATTTCTTGATCCTTTACATTATTTACATGCAGAATTGTGTCTTCGTTTTTGCTGATATAAATAGAAAATTTCTTGATAGCTTCGGATAGAGAATAATTACATTTTGGTAAACTGTCTTCAAACTAAATGTCCATTCGTGCTTCTAATGTTACCTGCTCAAATATCGCATTATAGAAGATAGTTACTAGATCTGAGTTTCAATGCTTTAAATAGAGCCAAGATTATAATATATAACTTGTATAGCGCCAGTAGTCTTTTTGGCTAACTTCTTCTGATAAGTTAGGTGGTCTTAGTAAATATGTCAGATGGTGTATCATCTATTTAGGGATTTCAAGACAGCGGCGCGTGGATTAACTTCCTGTTGCTCGTGGGAAACCATTTTTTTCCTTAAACAATGGTTTCCTAAAGATGTTATATTTACTAAACTTGTGTGACTCCCATTTTATACTTTTGCAATAACATTATTGAGCTAGACCTACAAACCTTGTGATAACACGCAGTCGATCAATGTTAAGTTCAGTGAGGTTTATACTTTGCCGCTCAAAAGAAGGGAAGAAAACTATTTTCATACAGAGGGAAATGTCTCGGAATAATTGATGTACAAATTGTTTTTGCCTCGCATTTTGACATTCGCATTTTTACATATACTTTTTCTTTAAATTACGTGTAATTATTTTTCTTTATTTTTTCATAGAGGCATTTAATAAGCATGAAAGTCTGGAATACGTTCGAAATTTTGCCTGCCTGTGTCATTTACATATTGCTCCTTCACTCTGTTTTTCTCTTTATCTTACACAATTATATTATGCTTAAAAGTGTGATATTCGCTTTAATTTAGCGTGGTGGTTACTTGGAACCCTCATGGAAAATTCGCTAAAGTAATCTATAGACCCATAGTTGAGAAATTTGATCGGCTTCGTATTGGTGTGTCATTTAAGACACGCCAGAGATTTGCATTTTTTTTAAGCATTACGCCCAGAGCAAGGCGTGAAGCCACTAGGATGCAGGGGGTTGCAGAAGATTTGGAGCAAGAGCAGGTAAGAGTGATAGAAGAAAGGATGAGGAGAGGGATAGTGGATAGATCAAGGTAACTGAAGTTGTCGATTGACATTACATTTGAATAGTTGGAGATTTTAGCTCTCAGGGAAACAGTAATTGGGAAGGGTGTTCCACAGGCGAGAGGTGCGAGGTATGAAGCTATTGGAGTCGAAAAGACGACTACAATTAAAAGTTTCCACAGTGTAAGGGTGGGAGCGGTATGCCAACCTCGTAGGGTGCTTGAATTCATGGAGTCTGGGAACCAGTGAATGCAGCTCATTGGAGCAATTAACATGAAATTATTTGCAGAAAAGACAGAGAGAGGCGACGGCGCGTCTGTGAGAGAGTGACTGTAGGTGAGACGCCAGATCAGGGCCAATTATATTACATATACGTCTCTGGATCTTGTCAAGAACTCCGAGGTACAAAGTGGTTTATGTCTGAGGATTGCGAGGCATGTTTGGTGGTATGTCAATAGCTCCGGCTGTTGTTTCTCGACTCGTTTCCTAGATGTTGATGACATTTTGAGATGTGAGTCTATCCAGGGACGATGAGTAATACTTTCCTTGTTAGAAGTAATACATTGCCGCTAGGTATTGAACCAAATGTCCCTTTCTTTAAGCTATGATTTTTATTGCGTTTCGTAGGTGGGGAATATTATTTGATATGTCGTGAAAACATTTTGATTAAATTATACAGACACATAATTCGTGCAATTCTTTTGCATGTTCCCAACTGACACACAAACATACACATAGATTTATATATTTTATTTATATATGTGTGTCAGTGCTCTATAATCAACATGTAATTATGATAGAGAAATAAGAAAATTAAAATAATGAGAAGAACAAATTAAATTTTTAAACTTCTCAAATCAAGATTTAGAAAGAAAATATATTTTGATTGAACATCATCGAAATGTGTATTATATATTTAAGACAATTGTATATTTTTCACACTCCCTGTCATAAAACCCTGGTAGTAGTCACAACAAATTAGTAGAAAAATAAAATTAAGAAAGTTCTTTAAATGTAATTTAATAAAAAGGAATTTGAAAGTAGTATTAAATGTAATTTTAACGCAACTAAATTAAAAGCAAATCCTCATGTCGCAGATAGAATCCTCCATTGTTCGTCTTCAACGCTTTCAACTAAATCTCGCTCTCGTTGTGCCTCTAAATAACATATCTGTTTCATTTCGGTCTCCATTTAAAAGAGTTTCTCGCGTCAAGTCTCTGACTGAAAACTAAATTAAGGATTATTTATTCGCTGTCTTTCTGCACCACTCTCCTTGAGACGTATACACCTTCTTAAAAAGATCTGAATGAAGGCCAGGAATCAATTTCCAATTGTCTGGTCAGGAACTGAAGAACACTGATACTTACCAGAGGAGACTCAACCAAACTGGCAAATCGAATGTGCGGAAGAAGAGACGGTTTGCTCCTTGCCAAGTAGGTTTGTTAAGTAGTTGATTATTCCTAGGTAGCGCTAAAATTACCTCGGATAAATTAAAGACAATTTTCAGATATTCGTTGCCAAGGTTTCAAAAAATTCTCTGCAGCCATTACCTGAATTAAAGTCCCCATATATATATATATATATATATATATATATATATATATATATATATATATATATATATATATATGTATATATATATATATACGCACATACATATATATATATATATATATATATATATATATATATATATATATATATATATATATATATATATATATATATATATATATATTAAAAGGATTGTCACTTAGTTGATTGATGTTATCTTCAGAGATGACAGACACGTACACGTCCGTCCACTCGTCAGGAGTTCTCTGCAGTTGACTGCTTATACATAGAGATTTTTTTTTCTTTTTTTATATGCACTTAAACGTGATTTTAATGGATACGCGTATTTGTGTATATACGTTATTCATTTTACTTTCATCTACTTTTTCAATGAACACTTGCATGGAAATTTTTCGTGTCAACTCATTATTATATGGTACTTAGACTTTATGGATTTTAGCGAAATTATAGCGTATGGCGACGATTTATAGTCGGGTTGGCTAGATGTAAACGTAAGTTGTCTGCTAACAATTTCATTTCTAGCACTGTAAACTTTAGGAAATCGCTTCCGGCTCCATGAATTCCAGTCAATATTGATTTTCACAAATGTAAATGCAAGATCAATACCTTACTTCTGTCCTGCTCTCATTCATCTTTTGTCCCAGATCCTTAGTAATGTTCCTGTTTTCTAAATCTTCAAAACCCTGTAACACCTTCCTGAATATTCGAGAAAAATCATGCGCTTTAAGGCGGAATTCGAAACTAGGTTCCCCTATTGAAAACCATCATTAGATCTTACATGTTTATTTCCCAAAACGTCTGCAGATTGTACTGATTGTCAATTATATATATATATATATATATATATATATATATATATATATATATATATATATATATATATATAGAGAGAGAGAGAGAGAGAGAGAGAGAGAGCTATCAATCTGTATCTATAGATATCTAAAACTATCTATATCTATCTCTGTCTCTCTCTCTCTATATATATATATATATTTATATTATATTATATATATATATATATATATATATATATATATATATATATATAAGTGAGTGTGAAAATACTGTCAATAACTAGCTCAAAAATTCATTTCAACTTAATATGAGAATGACGAAAATGAGAAAATAAATCATCAGTTAATTAATTTAATCCCCTGAGGAATGGATAAAACGATGGCAAAAATTCCAGATTCTAGGTTCTGCATATAATATCAATAAACATCTTCGGTGATTGAAAGGAATTAAATTTTATCGAAATTTCTAATCCACAAAGGACGCAATGCTCAATGGATGTGATTCTAATTGTTTCCATATATATATATATATATATATATATATATATATATATATATATATGATGATGATGAATTTTCCGTCGCTGAAATGTGAGTTTACAGCATAAACATACTCACAAAAACCGATTACAGAGAACTATTACATACACGATCATCCTTAAGCTTTTGATGTAGATAAAACTTCTCATAAAACTTGTTTATTCTAATCTAGGTTGACGAGCCCGGTTCCCTTACTGTTTAACCCGTAACGAATGGAAGACCATGTACTTGATTCACACCTTTCCCATAGATAATTAAATTCAACGATATGGATTTACTTTCGAACACTTATTCTGAGCTGTTTCTTATTACACGTCTACTCATCTCTATTTACATATCTTTTGTACATATATATATATATATACTCCTCACACACATTCATATATATATATATATATATATATATATATATATATATATATATATATATATATATATAAAGACATTTTTATGTTTAACGTTCTTTTTTATAGATACAAGTTATTTAAATAAACAAATGCTCTGTTTATAATAAACAGTATTAAATAATATTTACCGGCCTGAATGAACCTGCATCCTTACGGAAAATTTATTCGGTCGAATTTACAGCTTATAAACTTCGAACGCCTTTGTGGCTGGTCGGTAAGGCGTCATTTTAAATGACGGTTCCGTCGATGGTAGTCGAATTTATAAAGGACGAATATTTTCTGTGAAAATTTCGGACATTCCTTTGTAAATGTTATTTAATACTGTTTATTATAAACAGAGCATTTACTTAAATACTTGTATCTATAAAAATAACGTTAAACATAATAATGTCTTTAATAAATGAGTTGTCGGACTTTGTCCATTTCTTAATATATATATGTGTGTGTGTGTGTGTGTGTGTGTTATTTTATTTCAGATTTCAACGATTACGCTATTTTATTTCATCAAATGTCAGCAGTATTTTTATCAAGATTTGATTCTCTGTCAACACTCAATAAACAAACGCTGGCAAGTAAACTGCCACTTGAACCGATTTGTATAACAATATAGCCATAAGTTGGTTTACGTTGCCAGGAACAATGTCTGGCTTACTCCTTCTCTTCTTATAAAAAATTGAATACTGGTTTTACGAAGACTTCACAATATTACAAGTAGAATGACAATACAAACTAAGTCGGTACGAGATGTCGACGCAATGTATCACCCATCGCTTCAATCGATCTACAAACAAAGAACATTACACGCATAGCCAACACGAGAATTACGTAATCATATTTTTTCATTAATAATTGTTTATAGTTGAGGGCGACTGGTTGCTTTGAATGTTAAGGTTATCACACTAACTTTCAGTTCATTTCTAGTGATTGCGAAACTCGATGCTTATTTAATATTCGTGGATTAATCTCATGAAATATTTGTATTTGTGTCAGTATTTACACAGGTTTCGTTGCGCTGATTGTGAGTAATTCCTCACTAAAATGTCTTACTGTTTATATTTACAATTCTTAAGCTATGTCGGTGTTTTTGGCATTAATCTTTATTGGAAAGTATACGGTGTCTTGCACAATTGCTAAAGTTCTTTTCTTTTATGTACCATGTCTTTTAGGACTTAGGCGATCATGGTTCTCCACCTCCGTCTATCCCTTGGAGCTCTCAGCAAGTTCCTTCCCTCTCCTTTCTCCCCAGTCCACGTTCTTTCAACCACTTGCTTAAGCCCGCCAGTTATATCATGCACTGCTTTCCCTTGTCGCTCTTTCCCTCTATTTGACTTGTGAGTATGAGATTCTCAACGCCCTCCTACCTCATAATATGTCCAAAAGACTTCAGCTGCCTCTTCCTGATGTTAAGTATAAGCCTCCTCCTCATTTTCCTCCTCTCAAAGACCTCATCTTTGCTCATGCACTCGGTCCATTTTATCTTTAGCATCCTTCATCTCCATCGCTTCCAGTCTCTCTTCTTCATCATTGAGGTAATCGTCCAACATTCGCTGCCGTAAAGAAGGACATATATCACGTAATAGCTCAGTATTCTATTCTTCGTTACCAAAGAAATCCTCATGTCTCGCATTACTCTGCCAAGCTTTTGCAATGTGTCCTTGGCCATCCCACTACGCCTATTGATCTATGTGCCGCACTTACCATCCTATCTCAAGACGCTTCCCAAAAAAATAATTATTCGCGTCTGGTTGTTTCTAGTGTTCCCGAACTATAAATTACATTTTGGGCTCTTCCTTTTACTGATGACCATGCATTCAGTCTTCTTGTAGTTTATGCTTAGTCTTTTCTTCTCATTCTCCGTCGATATATTCTGTAGGGGAATTTGTAATTTATTTTCTGTGTCTGTTTCAGCACTGTTTCATCTGCGTATCTTATGTTGTTAAGATTTTGGCCGCCAATGCTAAATTCCGGTATGGTTTTCAACTGTCTCAGAATTGCATCGCTGTATAGCTTGAACACTTCGGGGAAGAAGACGCATTCTTACTTTATGTTACACTATTTAGCTATGGTAACTGGCTAACTAATTAAGCATGGAAATTAATAACAAGAAATATTTAAGGCGTGCAACGAGATATAACGAAAGACATACCGAGCGACATCAATTTTTTTAAACAAAAGGAAAATGGGTAAAGATTTTATTTTCATTTACGAAGAAAGATATTTTTTCGCAGCAGACATAAAATTCGTAAAAGAAGCGGGTTTCGGATTCTGTCAGAATTAATTAATGTCATGACGCGACAAGGAAAACTGAATTCTAAAAGATAAACAAAACTGTGTCAAGCATGCGACCGGGTAGGAATTTCAGTGAGACTACCCAAAAAGAATAGCCACTGATTATCTTTCGGAGATATCATTTGGTTTTGGTTCTTGTGTCCAGAAGGCGACCCATCTGTTGTATGTCCAGATCTTGTCATGATAAGAGTGAAGTACCAAGGGAAACAGAATACGGATAAAGAATAACAATCTACCACACGCGTAGGAATAATAAAAAAGTTCAATTCGGTCAGCTGCATAAAAGCAGAATTAAATCAGAATTCGGTTATCTTAAAAAACCTACGAGGAAAGCCATTCTTACTACCTGTTCAAACTGTTAGAGAAAGACTTTCTGGGAATGCGATAATATTGATACGGGGAAGACAAAGAGATTTAATCTCCAAATGGAAATGACCATCCAGTTAATTGTTCAGGAGAATTCTCTTAATGAATTCCAGGTGATCCCAAGATAAAAAAAATTTAATAGTCGCGATATGCGATTCATAAGAATTCTGGCCGATAGAAAAGAAAGAAAGAAAAGAGAAGATAATTTTTTTCTTTGGGCGATAATTGCAAACTGAGGTCTGTCTAGCCACACCCACACTGCCGAGCGTTTATTGGCTGAGTGGTGGCGTGACTCATGGGCGAAGGTGAACATATGAGAAAGATTGGAAACTTGTTGAGCATCACTGAGAGATTGGTATGAGATACCAATATGAGAAAGGAAGAGTTTAGGAGGATAATTCTCCTCCGACCTCTCCCTACAGAAGGGGGAGAACCGCTCTAAAACAGAAAGTAACTTATTACAAGAGAACTTATTACATGAGAAGTGATAAATTTTCCTGTCCGAAGTCAAAGAGAATCTTTACTGGGGATTTGGAATTATCGAAAAACCCAAATCACGACAGGCTTTTGGTTTTGGTCGGCGTCCATATAAACGAACGACCCCAGAGAGTTACACAGTTTAGTTTCCGACACAGTTTCAGAAAGAGTCCCAGAGAGCTGTTGCGCTCGGAGACCAACCACGCAGGAGCTGACCGAAAGATTTCCACGCATTCCGACTTAGACGTCTAACCAAAAGCATTTTTTTTTAATGAAGAACGACTTAGACTTACACCACCAAAGCATGTTTTAACAAATATCGCCTGAAGATACCAAAAAGCAGTTTATTAAAAAGCATCTTAAGATATCAATGCTCGCGGAAAAAACACAAAGTATCACGAATCCATGGAAGCGGGTTGGAAGAAAGACGCACTCCCGTATTCAGCAGACAGATATAAAGATACTTGTTATTTTTTCAACATAATTGAACCTCTTGAGTTTATTTCATTATTTTTATTTTACATACACTTGTGCTGTATCACCTTTGCCCCGGATTCAGCTTGCACTACGGTCCGACGCCTGATTGATTTCGTTTACCTAAGATCAAATCACAACGTGGGTAGGTTAGACTAGAGATCAAAGCTGTTACTTCAGGAATCAGACGTTGGAGGCGAGCTGGGAACGACAAAGTTGATATCGAATCTAACCAGACATCGACAACGACCAAGACAACCAGAGGTGTTAGTGTCACACATGGTCCCGTGGTAAACCTTATTTCCATCCGAACCAGCCAAGGATTAGCTCGTCACAGATGGTGCTGCAATCATTCCAGGGTTAGAGTGGGTCACACTTATGCCCCTTTCTATATTTTTCTATTCAATGAACTCGTTCCTTATGCATATGCATGCTGTTTCCTGCCAGTATATGGTCTTGATTATTCTGATTTTTTTCCCCACATATAGCAAAGTTGCTGAGCAGTTCCATCCCATCTTTGTGGCGTAATTTGTCGAGGGCATTTCCGTAGTCTATGAAACATGGGCACGCTTCATTCTACATAAGTATCGCTCTTTCTGATAACATTTTGAGCATGAATATCGCGTTTCTTGTTCCAGTGTCTTTCGTTGTACGGTGTTAAATTAAAAGTATTTTTCTTCTCTCAAAAATAGATAAAATAATTATCTGATGCTGTCAGTATATACTGCTACTTCAATCCGATCAACTTAGGTCTTTCGTTATATCATCATTATTGTAGATTTCATTTAATATTTCTGGAATTCAGTCTATGCAAAAATTGATCTAAGTTTGCCACCATCTCTATTAAAAATGTGTGTGGTCTTGCTCTTTGTTTTTGTTCAGTTTGGCTCGTGCTAATTCCACTGCATTTTCCGCACTTCGCACTATTGCAGATGTTACTAAAGCTTCTGTCAATGTACTCCCCTTCGAATTTCTGTTGCCATTATTTCATTCATATTTGATTTTCCCGCTATATATATCTCTTCTTCAGATTCGGTTTGTTCAAGTGTCTGTTGTATTTTGATTCTAGTGCTGCCTTGGGCAACTTAAATTTCCGTAGTATTCCTCTATGTTTACATGTTACTGGATGGTGGTCGCTTCAGCAGATGACACTTTGCACTGTTTTGCAGCATTTATGCTTTAGATTATTGAATCTCTTATTGGCAGTTACTTAGATATATGAATAAAAAGAGGCGAAAAGAAAAGAACTATTGGTGAACCCCTTCCGTCCTCTGGGAGAATTTTAATGTAATGTAGTATTTATTTTGCCTAACATGTTTATATACAAAGGCGAAGCTATTGTTTTAGCAAAGCTTATAAATTTTAGAACGTTCATGAATGTTCACCAGGTGGTTGAAATATCAATTAAAGCATGTCGAGGACACAAAGTATCATAATTTAAATTCTAGTAAAAAGTAAATAGAGCAAGTAATATTCAACAATATTTTTACAAGACAAACCAATAACATTCTCGCCTTTGTATATAAACACGTGTATAAAAATGAACGCTACATTGCCTTTCAGTGGACGAAACGCTTCGGCTAAGTAAAGCTTTTCTTCTTTTCATTCATTTTTCTTTCTTCTCCAGATACACTCTATGTGGGTATATTTATACAAGCAAACACAAAAACACACACATATATGTTTTTCGTTTGTCCGCTTGGGCTTCTCAATGCCCATATATGTCTTAGGTGTTTTGTAAACCAGGTGTTGATTTCACCACATAACATTGAGGCCATATTTCTTCGTGTTTATCTGCAAACTATTTCGCCATCTTTTTCCCTGTCCACAACTTTCTTGCTATCTACATTGTCTTGGCGTTGTCTTACACCTTACAATATAATGTGTGCAGGACGATTATAATCCTTGTGAGAATTTATATTTGATGTCCGGACAATTTGACACAAACTTCATTTTCAGTATTTCTTTGGAAAATTTATTTATTTATTTCTTCTACAATCATTCTTTTTTTTTCCCATTGTTGTATATGTAAAGGGCGTTCCAATAATTGGACCGATTTAAATATGAATGAATTGTTGGCGTCTAATCAATTTTTTCTTTCACATTTAAGAACCTATGTCTTTGGCAATTTCAACCATGGGAAAATTACCAATCAAACAACGTGTTAAAGTTATGGAAGCCTATCTAGGAAATAGACGTTCAAATAGAAATGCAATGAGAAATTCCAAGGTCGCATCAGCTCTCGAGAAAGCGAAGTCTATTGGCCACGACGATCGTGCGACTTGACGTTTTTTGAATACTTCCTTTGGGATCATATCAAAAGCAAGGTCTATGCCAGCAAGCCAACAAGAATTCAACAGCTGAAGGATGGGATAATAAGATATATTGGTGAGATTGAGGAGCAACTATGTAGAGACGTCATCAAAAAGTTTGTCCATCGAGTAGAGTTATGCCACCGAAGCCTTGACGGATATTTGTTTGATATTATTTTTCATATATAATAGCCATGATTTAACTAGAAAGATCCAACAGAGAAATAAATAATTCTGCATCAATAACGCTGGCTTTAAAAAAAGCACGACTAGAAACAATTTTAATAGAGCTGGTGGCGAACTTAGATCAATTTTACTGCTGAATGTGATCCGTCATAATGAAACTCACTTTATTTTTTTGCGTTTGCCTTCAGTAATTATTGGTCAGTGTCTTCGTTGCATCATTTCCAACATCTGATTCGATTTGATTCTTTTGCTGTCTTTATGTGGTTTTACCGTTTCTTCTTTTCTTTCATTCCATATTCTCTTGCTTTTCATTTGTAGCTTTCTTTTAATTATTCTTTCTCTGTTTTCTCTTTGACTTTCCACCTTCCAAATTTAAATCAATTTTTCTATATGTCATCATTTATTCACTCTATCCATTCTTTCTTTCTCTCTCATGATATTCATTGTTTTTTTTTTTCATGCCTCTTCTTCTCCTTTTCCAAACCGGTCACTACTTGTTAATCTTCTTCAACGACCTCCTAATCGTCTTTATTTTTCTAAATATTTTCTGTTTCCATTCATTTCTACACTGTCGGAGTTATTCTGTATTTTATAATAATTATCATCATTTTCGCTGCACATCGGTGTAGACATTGACAACGAGACATTAATTTATGAACTAATGATAAATGTAATAAAACAGCACATATAATAACCGGACAATGGAAACGCACGTGAAAAATAAAAAAAAAATAAATAAAATTTAATTAAAGTCACGTTGTCTGCCATTGTTGAGTAAAAAGAATAGATACGGAAACAAATAACTGTTAGAATATTCGTGCACACATATACTCTCTTTTCTCTTTTGTATGATCATAACTTTATTCTCATGACTGATTCTACTGAAGACCTTATTAATGATTTTCATTCCCCACATCGAATACAAATAGAAATATCGTAATGAAGGTAAGAGCTGATATAATAATTAATAGTTATGTATGTTATTTATATATATATATATCTATCTTTCTATCTATCTACCTACCTACTTATCTCATTGTGTCTGTCTATATAAACGCTATATATATATATATATATATATATATATATATATATATATATATATATATATATATATATATATATATATATAATCCATTAAGGCATTTGCGAAAGTAATTCGGATGGAGGAAATTCCTTACATGGATTCTTGTCTATTTCTTAAAATTCCAGTGTTTGTTAAGTCCACTTTCGCCTGATATACAGGATAGTATCACTATTGCCCTCTCTCTCCCTCTCTCTCTCTCTCTCTCTCTCTCTCTATATATATATATATATATATATATAAATATATATATATATATACACACACACACGCACACAAATTCATGCTGACATGCATACGCACACTTTAGCTTATGTGTGTTCGAGGCATCCTGTATGCAGTGATAGAGTTGAAGCCTATTTGAATGCAACAAATTCTTTCAAATATAATACAAATCATCCAAAAATCCATACATAATTTTGTTAAATTTTAAAATAAATATAAAATGGAAATAAATAAATAAAATGTATAGTATATCCCCATATGCTGAAATTTCATCAACAATACAATAATGTAAACGTCTAATAAATTGTACGATTTAAGCCAATGCATAGTATTTTACAGGAATTATATTAACTTAGAGAAGGAATATTTTCTTCAAAATGTCGTACCTCAAAAACACAGAAATAAAAGTATTGTATGATGCTGGAAAATTTAACGGACTTGCTTTTGAGTAGTAATACTATAATGCGAAGTGGCATTTGATACACATTGACATCGTCGCGTTTGGTACAATGATAGTGAAGTATAAAAACAATAAGATTAAGTGCCATCAAGGGAGAATTTACAGAATTCAGACAATTTTATTAAAGCTATTACAAAGAAGAGTGGAAAAAAATTAAGTATACGGCCATTCTTCACTTAACGACCGACATCTCAATAACTACTCTCTTACGACCATCAAATTTCAGTAAATAAAAATGTAAGGAAAAACCAACGACCATGCATCGCATGTTTGACGAAAACTCTCGTAGGGCTTATTTACAATAATTTAAAATATAGAATAATATACATTGAAAATTGAATAAAAATGTACTTGTCGTTGTCGACAGCCGATCGCTTTGTAGCATAGGGCTCGTCATCTTCTTTCCTATTCCCTTTCACCTCTCTGGTGTCTTTAACGTTGATGGCTGTGAATAACCAACCGACTCCGAAAGAGTTGTGAACAGGAGTCACAGAGGAATGTTGGTGGTCGACACTGCTGGGCAAATCGGGATCTCTTAACAGCCCATCGCCGTTTCTCTTCATCTTGACGAAAGGCTAGGTCCACGTTAGATGGTCCTACTCCAGGAAGATTGATTTTCAGCAACGGTTTTCCATGTCTCATCGTCGATGTTGGCCTGTGTCAGGGACGTTTTAATCAGTTCCTAGAAGCGTCGTTTTGGGCCTCCATGTAGCTTTTTTTTCTACTGGCGAGTTCTTCGAACAGGATGATACGTGGGATTCGAATGAGAGGCATTCTGCGTACGTCATCCGCCCCGCGGAGTCGAAGATGAATTTATTTGAAATGTCTTTAAAGTAAGCAAACCGAATGAATTTACATAATTTACAACTGATTGTCGAATCTGTTTATTAGGTTTACTGATCCATACACTACATTACGTTATTTAAAGTGAGAAATAAATTAGAAAGGTTACAAATGTTTCTAAAAGCGACATTAAAGCTACCTGAACTGGTTGACACAAACCCATTATACACGTATCTTGCCTGAAATAGCGTTTAAATACAACTTCTCAATCAGCGATTAGATTGTTTAGCTATAATGCTTTTGGAACAGAATCAAGTCGTTATGCCAGGAGTGGCTGTATTATGTAGATGCGTAGTCAGTTGCTCTTCAGGGAACTCAAAATGTGACTACAACTTTGAAAAGCTACGACATACGTCTATAAGTTTAAACCAATAATCATGATAAAAAAAATGTGATATATAAGTTTAAACCAATATAAAATTGATGATAAAAAAATAATGAAGATATATTCTCTCCTAATCAAAGATATATTAAAAACTGAATACTCTCCAAATCAAAAAATTATAAAAAACGAGTCGAGTCCAAATCAAAATATATTAAAAAAAATGAATTCACTCCAAATCAAAAAAATAAAAAAAATGAATTCACTGCAAAAAAAAATATATATATATTAAAAAAATGAATTCACTCCTTTTCAAAAAGTACAAAAAAAACGAATTATAAAAAATATATATATATATATATATATATAATATATATATAAATATATATATATATATATATATATATATCAAATGAAATTCATATTCAAAAAAAAAAAATGATTTCAATCAGAAAAAATATAAAAAAATGAGTTCATTCCTAATCAAAAAAATATATTAAAAAAAAACAAATTCACTCCCAATCAAAGAAAAATAAAATAATAATAATAATAATTCACTCCCAATCAAGGCAAAAATGCGACTAACATACAAGGGGTTACTAGGTTTGAAAGAGAGTTAAAACGACTTTAGATGAAACCAGAAATACAATCCTAAACAAGAAACACGGGTTAAATCTCTACTCCTGTTCTAAAGACGCGGGAAGGTTGTGAACCTTTCTAGTCCTCTTCCAGATTTTAGGTGGAGACATTGTATGTTTAGAGATGAAGTAGACTTTAGAAGTAGCTTCATAAGAAACAATGTATAACACTCTACTCCTGTTCCCAAAACTGTGGAAGAATGTGAAGTGGACAATATAATCATACTAAGTTACGAAACTGCATCCATACAGTCGTAATGGTAGCGGTTTTGTACATAATAACCATGAGAGTAAATTATAAAAAAATATTGAAATTTGTTGTCCTTACACATTATAATGCTATGGAAAATATGAATTTACCAAAATATCCAGAAGTATCAAAATTTTAAATACTGACACAGTGTAGATAGAGAATCGTGGAGGAATATTGCAAATGATTCTTATTTAAACAAACGAACATTTAACTTTTTCAAACCCGCATATATTTTAAAGAATAAAAGCAAGTTTCAGCCCAGTATATTTTTTTCAAACAAACCATCATTGTTTTGTAAAATGTCGAAAACAACATGCTGCCGTCTCTTCTTGCTGGGTTTTCTCCGTCATTTGGCTTCGGTTTGTCTGATTTGAACTTTAATATATTTAATTAATAAAAATATCACATCTGATGTTATGAAATGAACCAATGAATGTAAATTATAAATCATTGTACATAAAACATTGCTAATTTGCCTGATCTTCCAACCTGAAGTCCCTTTCATCGTGCTTAATGACATGTTAACATTCCTTTAAGCACGACGTAGTATTCAACGGAATATATGTCAGCTACATGACATATTGGTGTCGAGGGACGACTGGAAAGCCTTGTATGAACAATCACAGATTTAAGCTGATTTAACATCGTTAATCACAATAGATATGCAATCATTTGTTTGATGTTCTTTAATATTATCAATACTATTTAATTATCGAATGAAAATTTTAGAATTTATAATGAAGTTAAAAATAGATACTAGAGACAAAATTGTTAAGGAAAATTGCATTTTTGTATGAATAAAATATCAGATGTATACGCGTTTCTAAGGTGATCTCTATCACTTTGTTTATACCTGTAAACTTATTTAGAATAAACATATACTTGTAAAGCACTGTATATATTTTGTATTTGCCATGTCTATTTAGGAATTATGCAATCATGGCCCTCATCAAATTTATATCCTTTTAATCTCGTAGCAGTATTTATCTTTTTAATATAACTCTTATTTTCTATATTATTCATTTTCAAAGTTGTTAGCTAAGATATTTTTTTACTCAGACTTTGTTGCATTCAATGTCTAATAAGGTTCATGTTCTCCAAGACTTTTGTAATTAGTACTTGATCTAGAAAATCAGATGTCTCTGATTATAAGAATAATGTCTTTTTAATTCGGACTTTCTTTACTGTTTTCTTGTTTCCAGAATGCTTCGTCAATGCATTTCTCAGCGTCCGTCTGTAGAATCGCCTATCTGTTGTCTGAAGATTTCTCTTCATCTGCGAAAGCATTGTACACCATTCATGACATACTGGTGGACTGATATTACATAGCCATCGAGTACTATTTTCATTCTTTCCAAAGAAATTGCCTTCTTTCTTAATGGGTGGTTTAGTTTTTGGAAGTTGTCTTTCCCTATTCAAACGAGTCTTCGTATTTCACTGTAACATTTTCTATAATCTCTATAACCATTTCATAGATATCTAATCTTCTGTATTTTGTTGATTTCGGTATCTACCATCCGTAGATTGCGTCTTGAGATTTTTTTCCTTCTGAAACCCATCAATATTGTCTTCTTACAATTGATTCTTAGTCCTTTTTCCACCAGTTTATTTTACTACTTTTTTCTAAAATAATATTGTTCTCCTCTTTTGGTTCATACCAT